CTGCGTACGAATGAATGAAAACGATTTGCCATCCCAGAAGTTATTTGGTGAGGCGGCCTTGCGCTTCAGTGCTGAGATGAGTGGTGACATTGCCTGCGCCCCAGAATTGTGCAATTTTCTTGCCTCCGACCAATACTGCCCCAGGTTGGCTCGGGCAATTACCGAGGCTATGCTTGCCCATTTGTGAACCTTGGTCAGTCTGGAGTGCCCAGTGCTCACGTTCGTCGGGGGATAAAGAGTGTTCGCGTTGGCTGACCTTGCCAACTGGGGCTGTGCCTGCCTCCTGCGCTCCTTCCATCCAAATGCGTCACGGATGCCCCCGATTGAAAAAGAGTGAGTGAGCGCCAGATTGATTGTTTGTGATTGAAATAAATATTTGATGGACTTCCTTTTGGATATACTTGATGGGAAGCTGATTTGATATTTGATTGAAAAATTTCTCCTGCCCTTTTTGAACCCTGGCTGTGATTGCAAAATGGTTTGGCAAAAAAACCAGTATGGCTTCAGATCTCAAAAGAGCACTATGCAGCCGCTGTTTATCGTGCGTAGGGCCATGGAGTACTCCAACGTGACCGACAAACCCTTGCATTTCCTCTTCCTAGATCGGAAACAGGCTTTCGATTCAGTAGACCATACCGCGATGATCATTGCCTTCAAAAGGTTCGGGGTATCCCAGGACTGTTTGAACCTTATTGAGTCTATTTACACAGACCCCACATTCGAAATCATTCGAAATCAAACGCCTCAATGGTAACGTGGCTACAGGCAAGGTAGAAGCAGGTGTAAGACAGGGCTGTCCCTTAGGCCCGTACCTTTTCATCATGGCGCTCACTCTTATTCTCACTGATGTGGACTCTAGGCTGAGTAGACAGGGCACCCCCACCAACACCTGGTCTGTACATCGCCCGACTTACGATGTTGAGTACGTTGACGACACGCTCCTTTTGGGGCTGACCACACCGCAACTAGAACAAATGCTCCATGCCATAGAACAAGAATCTGTGCCATATGGGGAGGCTGAATTTGTCAAAAACGAAGTTGCTAATAAATGAATGTCGTCCAAATCAGGGCATCCACTTTCAAAATGGGGACGCAGTCCCGACCACAACGCAAGTCTGGAATATGCCTTTCAAAGCAGCCTTTAAGCATAGATGCGCACTAGCGGAAGAGGCCTATAAGAAACTCAGATTGGTATGGAATAGTTCCTTGCCAAGTCGCACCAAACTTAAGATCTTCCAGGCTATCTTTCCCGCAGTTCTTACATACGGATTGGAGGCTTTTACACTCACAGATGGCCACCTAGCCCAAGTCGATGCCTTTTGTTATAGGTTCCTTAGACGAATTATCGGGATCAAGGCCTCACTCGAGTCCCCAACACGGAGGTGTATGAGCAGGCAGGACGACCAAAACGCCCTTCTGAGACACTACAAGACGTCCAGTTTAAGATGATGTATGAGGTCTTCGTAGCTGATTACGAGAACCCTATACACAATGTTGTCTTTGACACGTGCCATAAGGACCGCATTGCGCAGAAAGGTAAGCGTAGAGGCAGAAGTATACCGTATTGGCTAGTAGTTACAACCCAGCGTTATTACTCGCAGACATGGCAGAACGACCATACCGCTAACCCAAACTGGAAGTACGTACTCACGCCCAGAGAGATGCGGGACTCCATTGTTTGTAGAGAAGCGCCAAAGCGCGCGCAGCAGCCGCGCGCGCGGCACTAGCAAAAAAGGCAGTCAGGGACATTGTAGGAGATTGTCTGAACCTCGTTGGCTTGCATGTTTCTCTTCCAGGTTCCACCCTGAACCCTCAAAGCTAATCCTCCCGATCAGCGCTTGACAAGTGTTCAACCTTGACAGAAGGCCATTTTAGTTCTCACCACAGGGTTCTGCGTACGGAACTCAGAGGCAGGCCAGATCAGGGTTTAGGGTTGCAATTTTTTTCTGTAATGAGGCTGCAGGAGCCATCGAATGTATCCTGGAGTCCCCAAGGTGGCCTCATTTTTCAGAAGCACCCACATGTCTGTGACAGTTTTTACATTCTTCCAGACTTGTGCACCAGTTTTTGGTTTTGATCGTGTGGCTGGCTCAGCTGCCAGGTTCCTTGCGAGGGTCTAGGAGCTTTCTGGTTTAGGTTTAACCTTCTTGCGTCAGAGGCTTTGAAGACGCATGACCTGCTACCAGTTGCTGAGTAAGGTCCAAACCGTAAATCTTGAGGTGGTTTGTGAGGTTTGGTGGCGGTTTAATGGAGGTGAACATGTGCGCGTCGTGCACTTGCCGCCGGCCTAGGGCCGCGGGTCTGGGTTAATGAGGTTTAGGGAATTGGGGCTTGGGTAGTGCGCATCATGAAGCGTGAAGAGAAGTCTAAGTTAGCATCGTAAGGCCTTTGTGCGACTTATCCCCCAAACATGGAATCCCTAAACAGGAACCTCTAGCTCCAACACCCAGATCCTAAACGTCGCGATCTAGAAGGTTGCAAGGCCCAAACCTTGTTGTTCGTGAAAAGCTTGCCCGCATCAATCATCCCCCAAAATCCTAGGCCTCCCAATGGCCAGGAACCCAATCCACCCAAGCCTGAACATCATCATCAGATATTTGCGGCGCAGCTGCTACCTTTGAGACGTGTCTCATAATGCTTTATAGCCCGCAATGTTTCTGAAAATTCATGCCTTTCTGAAACTCGCTTTTTGTGCACGTTTGGAAACCAGTGGGTTTTCGAAATAACTTGGTTTCATGCGAAAAGTATTTCATGGAAGATCTATTTGTCTCACAGAATTTCACAGAAGAATTAATTCATGTTTCATGTGTGGGCATGGGATGACTGAACGTATGAGGCAACGTTGTTGCTCAAGCTGTGGTGCGTGGGCCCACACTTGAAAAAATTTGTAAGGGTCTCTAGAGGCGCTGCGCTGTAAAGGCCCCAGGCTTGTGAGTCTAGTAAGACTAGGCTGCATCGCCTCGCCCATCTGTGCTGGGGCGAGGAAGTGGATGGGATCTGAGCCCCCGTCCGATCCTGACAGTTCAGCCTCCTCTCAGAGTCTTTTGTCAAGACATCTCTTCGCAACCTCTAACCGAGTCACTGCTCTGGGAAAGCCAGGTTCGCGACTTGTCTGATACTGTTGCCTTTCAGGAGGACAAAATCAATAACCTCGAGCACCAGCGCCGCAGCCTCGAGCGTAGTGTGCGCCAGTTGCAGGCCTCCCACGACGGGTTGTCCCAACAAGTTCTTGCTCTGGAAGCCGAGCTACAGGCAGCTCGAAGCGTCCTCACTTTACGCAGTGCCGAGGCTGTCACTCAAGGAGTGGCCATTGCCAGGGTTTCCAGACGCGTAGAGGCTGTCGAACGCGTGCTGTCTCTCCACGGTTTAGATTGATCGCCCTGCCTTCCCTTCTTTTCTTGAGTGGGGTTGTCGAGTTTTCTTTTTACACCTTGGATTGACTGCTACAATCTTGGGCTGTGAGCCGCCTTCCCCTCATTTTCTTGAGTGGGGGTTGGAAGCATGAAGCGCAGGCAGGATGATGCTTTTGAAAGGCATTTGCATGATTCCGCATATGAGCAGCATCTCGCGTACGTTTGGAAGCAGGCAAGGAGCAGGTATGTGCAGCCTTGGGATAGATCTACCATCCTTAACCCGTGTGCAACCTTCCCCCGCTTGCCTGCCCACCATAGGTTCAATGCTGCCTCAGGATCATCTACCGCACCTCCTCAGGTCTTGTTTCCGCAAGCAAGCGTGCCTCCTAAAGCCGATGCCTCGGGATTTGTCCCGCCAGTTGCAAAGGACATAGGCAAGTCTTGGGAGGTCAAGTTGACCGAGAACAGGCTGGCTGCGTTGATCAAGTGGGAACGTGTGCTAAACTCCCATAAAGAACATTTTGGCCTGATGGACAAGGTTTCAATGGATTCCGGCGGGGTGGCAGACCTTCAGGTTGTTCTTAGGGACGTCTTCGCCATGAAAGCCAGCAGCACAGCCGCGTGGGACCGGTGCTCAGATTCATCAAACATTGCCAGGATACTGGGGTGGCCCCTTTCCCGCTGACAGAGGCGATCTTGTATGACTTCTTGAAGGGATATGGTAGCAAGCAGGCACCCACCTTCGGCAAGTGCTTCTTGGGTTCCGTAGCCTTCATGCAACATGTCCTTGAAGCCAAGCTTGAAAGCCCAGTTTTCAGAACGCGTGTTTCGAGAGAAACGCAAGTTGCAGCAGAGACCACCTTTGACGGTCCAACATGTTAAGGCTCTCGAAGGCATCCTGTTTGGGGAAGGTGGACTCCCACCTTGCGACCAATACGCTGCAGGCTGTTTCCTCTTTGCTCTATACGCCAGAGCCCGATTCAGCGATATGCAGGCCAGCGGAGACCTGGTCAGTGATGTGGTTGATACCAAGGACGGACCTCACGGGTACTTGGAGGCCTGCGTTACTCGAACCAAGACAGCCTACAATTTGGAGCGCAAAGCACGTTTCTTGGCAATGTGTGCGACCATCCAAGGCCTCTCGCAAGACTCTTGGGCACTCAGATGGCTTGACATCGCCCGTGACCATGGCCCGGAGTGGGGGTCAGGCAAGCCCCTACTCGTGGAAGGAGGGGGGTGGCAGGACTCCCCCGTGAGTGTGGATGTGCGTGCCTTGGGTACTCATTCTCTCAAAGCCACATGTTTGTCATGGGCGGCTAAATGGGGAGTGGAACGCGACACCCGCTTGATCATGGGATACCGCAGCTCACCACGTGGCAAGTCGGAGGTCGTCTACGGACGTGATAATGTTGCACCTGCCTTGAGGATCTTGGACACCATAATCGAGGCCGTTTCCGTGGGCAAGTTCCTACCTGATTCAACGAGGTCAGGAATGTTCCCCAACAGTGTTCGACAGGCCAAGCAACCCGTCCCCGAAGATGAGATTAGTCTGTCGTCGGAGGGGTCCGAGGACGAGGAGGACAAGGACCCCGCGGAGGAGGAGAAAGCCGCGGAAGAGGTGGTGGGACCCTGGGAGCCAGTTCCAGGGTTGCGAGAGTCGCTGGAGGGCAAGCCGGTGTTCAAACATGCCGTTACTTGATTCTTGCACGTGGTATAATCTGAGGAAGGTACACATTTTCGGTGTGGCCGCAGGATCAGCACTTCTTACCAAGAGTGTAGGGGGTTGCCTAAAGTTTTGTTTCCCGTGTGCAAGCAATGCTGCCCGGATGCATGAAAAAGCATGAAAAGAAGGGAGGAGCGAAGTCCTCTCCCGCTTCGTGAGGCGATATGCAAAATAAAATGCGGAAGACTCTGCTTGTCTTGCTGATGGAAGGCTTGGTGTAACATGACACATCGCTGGGAATGCGTCAGTTTGAGAGGGTCTGCGTATGTGAAGCACAAGAACAAGCCGCTCTGAGAGTTCGGGGGGCGGGGCATGACCAGATCCGATATTCTTTGCCCATTGGTGCCGGCTTGTCCTCATGTTTGCTAGGGCCCGAGACCAGCTGCTTCCGACTGGTAGGTGCGTCCTGAAGACCATGGCAGCTTCGTACTCGGACAGCCAGAGTGTATTCAACGCTAGGGTCGATGCTAGTGGTCTTCCCAAGGACGACGCCACTAAGGTGAAGAACGCAGTGTCTTCGCTGCGCCAGCTGGCCTTCATTTCGAGCTTTACGCCAGGCCAAGCTGATGAAACTCCTCTGATGAATGCCCTGAAAACCATGCTGGCTAGGGACGCTGAGCTAGGAGTGCAAGCCAGTTTCAGAGCGCTGTATCACGAAGCTTATGCGGTCGTGACGTCAGAGTTGAAACAGAAGATCGAGAAAAGCGAGGAACCGGCAAGCCGCCGACTAACACAACCTGAACGTGCAGAAAGGTACGAGAAACAAAAGGCCAAGCTTGTTGGTGTCCTGATCAAAAACCAGAGCGAGCCCAGCGAGGCCCTTGTTGACAAGGCTGTTGCGTGCTACGAAAGCAACGAGCTCAGGTACCTGAGCTGGGAAGCGTGCACTTCTCGTGAGCAAGAGGTTGGGTCGGACCGTCGCAAGGACACGAGGTTCACCGTGGACGAGAATTCGGGGCGCCTGAAAGTCGAAACCAAGGACGCCGAGGAAAAGGCCTCAACGGTTTCGGAGGTCCATGTCCTTCAGGCTCTCCAGCGCAGGTCCCTTGCTATGGACCAGGCAAACATCGTGGAGTATTCCTTGATGCAGCAGTGGACGGACCGCTTGCTCAGGGCCAAGATGCAGGATGCTCCGCCTGGATATCAGAGGCCGAGTTGGTCCCAATTGGTGGCAGTGGATAAGAAATTGTTTTCGAGCTCCGCGACCTGACGAGGGACGGCGCCCAGCCCTCAGGTGGCAAGAGGCCTATAGATGAGGACTGCGTGCGTGTGCCATACCAAAGTGTGGCCAGCATGGCCATGGGGCTTCCACATGCCCGGAGGCTGCTCTTCATAGAGCTATGCAGTGGCTCAGCCGGCCTCTCTGCCGCCTTTCGCGCATTGGGTTTTCAGGTATTGGCCATCGATCATGGTGGGAACCGCCGTCAGCCCTTGGTTCCCACCTTGTCTTTAGATCTTCGCCGCGACAGTTCGTGGTCGTTCGTCGAAAGGATGGTGAGTTCGCATGCGACCCTTCTGGTGCACATAGCACCTCCATGCGGAACAGCCAGCAGGGCTCGTGAGATTCCGCTGAAGGGGGGACGCGGACCTCGGCAACTGCGAAGTGGATTGCATCCACTATAGGCCTTCCAGGCCTGAGCGAGGCTGACCAGTCTCGCGTGGAGTCGGCAAACTGCATCTACACCAGGGCCGCGAACTTTTGCGTGTGGCTCCGACGCCAAGCTGCCGAGCATGGGTTACCTACCCATTTCTGTGTTGAAAATCCGCTGCGATCGTACATGTGGATGATGCCAGAGTTCGTCGAGCTGAAGCCACATTGCTTGCACCTTGCCTACGATGTTTGTATGCACGGTGGTGATCGCGACAAACACCAAATGTTATGGACATCCTTGCCCGAACTGCAGGCCCTGCCAGTGAGTTGTGATCGATCACATCAACATCGCCCGTGGGGGCAGACCCCCTCAGGCTCCTTCGCAACAGCCTCAGAGACCGAGTGCCCGGTACGTTTCGCTGCCGCCGCAGCCCTCGCTGCCGGAAGCTTGCACATCTTGCCCTCAGCCTCTGACGTTACCACCGCTAGCGCCAGGACGGCTGCCCAGACTCAGCCCAAGGTGTCCAAGGCTTTGGTCCTCATCGAAGAGTACCATTACCAGGTCACAATCCCTCTCCCATCAGCATGCTTGCCGCCTGTGAATGAGAAGAACTGCCTCTTGCGCACCCTGGGCCCTGCTCCACCTGGATCTAGGGTTCTTCGGGTTAATTCCCTAAGCGCCCTAGACCCGGTTTTGACTTCCTTTCCCAGGTTGCCCAATCTACCTCTGGCAAGGTTGTGTCCCTCACGTGTGGCGTGTATCGAACTCCCATGCAATTCGCACGTCAGGCCATCACTCTTCAGCACCCTTTCGATATGTGCAGGGCTCTGCCGGATCCGGCCCTGGAGGTCCTTGCCAGGACGCTGATCGATGGTCCTGTCTCAGTGGCGAAATCCAGGTTGAAAACGATCCGGACTTGGAAACAATGGAAAAGAGAACTTGAGGAGCAGGAGGCAGCACTTCATGAAGCGATGCATCCCGATGTGGCCCGCGTTATGAAGGGCAAGATCCTTCTCTTGCAGAAGATCGCAATTCCCTTGAATGGCCAGATGCCCACCTTCATCAGGATCTTGTTCAGGGTTTTAGGTTAATCGGGGATGAACAGCCGAGTGGAATCTTCCCGGTGGAACCGAAACCAGCACTTGCGTCCGTTGAGGAGTTTTGGGAGAGATCTCTTCTGGTGAAACATGCACTGTGGCAGAAGGTTGCGGACTCGCCAGCCGACCGCCTTTCCCAGGGCCTGTGTGAGGTCACAGAGACCGAGCGTGAGAAAGGCTGGCTCAGCAGCCCGAAAACGTGGCAAGAGCTAGAGGGCACCTTCGGGCCCAGGTGGGTCCCTGTCAGGCGATTCGCTGTTGAACAACGCGACAAACTCCGCCCGATTGACGACCTGGCCGAAAACGGTGTGAACGAAGCTTCTCGGCCCAAGTAGTTTTGAGTTAGTGCTGTAGCTGCTAGCAAAGGGGGTCAGCGCTTGCCGGCTGACACCTCGAGCCATATACATTCCACTTGCTGAGGCGGCGAGCCTCCAGTGTAAGTTGACCTGCTCCACAATTGGGAAGATCAATTTTCTGGTCATTTACGCTGAATTATTTGCAAGTGGATTTTCGCACAGCTGATTGATTTGTTTCCAGCAGACGACTTCACTCGCTTGCGGGCGTGGGTATGCAATCACTATCCGCTACTTCACACTATTTGGGAAGCGAGCAGACAAAGCGATGGCTCAAACCAGGGGTGTGCAGGACAGCAGTCATGGGATATGTGATGTGCAGCGTTATTCTTATGTCTTCGGTCTGGGGCTTGTTAACCTTGTGCAGTCATGGGCAAGACAGAGAAGTACACTCACAAGCGCAGTTGATTATTTGGCAGGGTAGGGGAAGCTTACATGTTTGACAGTTGCGTGCGACATCCGAGTAAGTTTCGCAATCTCCAGGGCCACGTGGATGCTGTTTTCTCGATAGCAGGGGCTCAAATCTGTCAGGGCATTGCCTTCGTGACAACTCCCCTTGACATGCCTCGCACCGCCATCGACCCTTATGGCAGATCTCCCATCCCACGTCGCAGGGCCTCTGCGGCTGACGGGGATGATAGGGCGCCTCTGCAAAGGAAGAAGATGCAACTTCCGAGCTCCACGACTGGCGAAGAGGGCGAAGACAGACGCGCAGGGAGAGTGACGTTGAAGAGGCGTCCCACGCAGGACAGGCTTTACGAGGCGGTTGCTCTGCTTGAAAAAGCCAGCAAAATGCCTCGGCGCAAGGTCACTCCTGGTAATGTCAAAGGCTCCAGCCAGCCAAACCTGAAGCTGAAGGAGGCGGTCGCCGCAGGACAACTGGCCAAGGCATCCAAGAAGAAGATACCTCATCGGGGGTCACAGTCGCTGGACCGAGCAACCTGAACCTCGCCAAGCCAGCTGTGCGAGTTGCGGATGGGAGCCGAGCTGTGGTGCAGCCTGGTGCCACAAGCGCGCAAGCAAAGCATGGCCCGGATAGTGACTCCTATGAGTATTACACGGACAGTGCCAGCACAAGTGATGGCCAGAACACTGTACAGGGGAAAGACGACGAAGCGTGCACCGGTACAGCATACATGCTTGCTGGATGTGTTGCTACGTTCAGCTGTGTTGTTGAGTGTGCAGTGAACAAACAACTATTCAGACATGGACAGGTTGCAGCGCGTTGGTGCCGGTCCGAACCTCGAGAATGGCGTCAAGCACGCAGATGTTGGGGGTGGATTGTGAGAGCAGTTCAGGGCGCGTACAAGTTGGCCATCGAGATGACCACAGGCAGTGTGCAGATGGACATATTTACAGTGGTGATGTATTTACCCATGGTCCTGCAAGTCTGTGTGCGGAAGGCTCTACAGCGGGTACTGGGAGGTGGGATGGGAGTTGGACTCAGAGCGCTTGCGCATGGATTGAGGTATTTTGGTGTTCATTTGCCTTCCTTCCTCGTGACTGGCCTATTTTGTGGATTGCAGGCAGCTCGTGTGCCCAGGCATAATCGCAAGCGTGGACGCAGGCGTAAGAATACACACAGCAGCCACTCAGGAATCCGACGACGAAGCACAAGACAAGCGGGGAGCAGCCACCGTGGGCAACAGGCAGCAGGGCCACTGGTCATCCGGTGCATGTTGCTTCTTACATGTTGCGTGCAGCCAGTTCTTGCTGTGCCAGATAGGGACAATAACAGCCAGCACGGTGCCAGACATTACGGCAGCAAACAGCCTTATATTGGCCGCTCCGGTCCCAAATCCGGAGGTCGAGACCACGGGTGAGTACAGGCATTTGGCGTTGAATCCGGGTCAAGACAGAAGTGAGGGTTGGGGGTCTCGCCATGACTCCTGGAAATGGGGAAGACAAGGCTACCAATCTACCAGCTGCCCCCATGAAAATAGGCGGACAAGGCCAACATGCGAGCACATCCTTTTCCAGGACACGGAAACGAGCTTACAAGAGAGCTGTTAATAGGGCCAGACGGGGACCGGTACATGTGTTTACTCATTGTTGTTTGTACTTTTGGACCAACACATCATAACCGCTTTTGGTTCAAGCCACACACAAAGCATTGGAGCTAGCTTCAGATTTTTTTCACCCACCCGCCTCTCCCTTTTATATTTGCCT